GGAAACCAAAAGCCGTTGCCACCTGCTAGAAGGCAAGACGAAGCAGTCGTTCTTGCTTCAGAGACTAAAGAGTAAGGTTTTTTTGAAGAAACAAACATAACAAATTACATACTTGAAAACAAGTTCTCAGTAAATGCCAGGGACTGTGGGGTATGAACTGATGTTTTCATATTCTCATGATCTGCATGGACTGAAATTCACTGTATGTCAAGCAAGAAAGTGCTCCTCTAAAGCCTCAAAATGGGACGCAGACCTTTATCTTCTCAAGGTCACACATAATCACCTGGTGTTACATTAAATGGTCTTCAGTATAAAATACTTAGATTTGAAAACAGATACTTAATAACAAGAAAATTGATTGTCTTTTAATCTGCAGATGAAAGTTTTATGTTTTAGACAGCTTGTGATGATTTAGTCATGCTGTTTAACCCCTGTGTGGTCATCCTAAATCATTACCTATTAGAGTGCTCTAATGGACTCCGTAATGTAATGATCCTCCCAGGATGTGCTAACTGCATAAAGCACGTCCCTATACTGAGTTGTGGAAACAAATTCTGTATTTTTCCTGTGTGTGTTAGAATTAGAAGCTCAGGTGTCAGCATTAGTAGCACGTGACATATTATATGGAAAGATCTAAGTGAAAACCTGTATTTACCTCTTCTATTTAATTGCCTTCAAAAAAGTATTGGGATGCTCTGTTTGGAATACATTTACAGCACTATATCTAAATTCAGAATATTCTTTGGTATTTTTATAGTTGCATACTTTTGATCTAGAAAAGATGAAAAAATAGGACATTTTAATGTCTATTTAATAACAAAACAACCTTCCTGCCTCAGAAAAAAATTCGGCCAGGTGAGCTATGATCTAATTTTCTTCTATAAGGAAAACAAAATCATAGCTCCTGAAGCATTATTCTTGGCTCCCAGCAGTTTCAAGGCATGCAAACATTACCATTTCGACTCCGTCCTGCAGTTTAACTGGAAGGATTATGTCACAACATAGTATGTTTGTTTTCCAGCTTTTTGTCTGTTTGTCCATCAAGACGGTTTTGTAGAAGTATCGGTGATTGTTGACTTTGGAGGTAGTGGAAGAAAAAATAATTATGAAAAAAAAGAAAAAGCAGACAGTACCATTGAAGTAACTGTGCTTCTGTCATAGGAGAATGAATACTCCTTTCAACAAATCTATAATTTGCAGAAGTTGCAAAAAGAAAATAGCCGTAAGGTGACTGTTAACATACTTCAGTTCATCCTGCCAAGAAAGTTAACTTCATAAAGTCATTAAACCAGTGATTACATTTTAAAATATTATTCCCCAGCCATTTCTTCTTAGACTTTAAAATATAGTTACTGTATATACTACCTTCTTTGTAATAGGAAAAATTGTAAAATACACTTATTTTTCATAAACTCCTAATTATTAACAGAGCTATTTGCGCTCCTATAGTTAAAGTCGTTTCAACACTTCCGTTATTTAAACTTCACTTTTAGGGGTTCATAATTTGGCTGTAATAAAAAATATATTCACACTCTGAGGTTTCAAGTATTGTTTGCTGGTATTAGGCAATTTAGCCTGTTTTTCTTTAAAAAGCTAAGTAATTTGGATTGTTTGCTGTTCTTCAAGATAATCCCAAACAAAATATTTTGTAGTGTGGACTAAATAATTTTAATCATTTAAAAAAAAATTAGGAAAAGACGGTGAGTATGTTGGAAGTGCTGCTGCCCAAATTCTGTCACTGGCACTGAATATCACTGAGGCTTGAGAAGGGAGATGGTGGGAAATTCTTGCCGTATCTCCACTGTTGCCGTATAGTAACCTCATGTATAAAAAGTTATTGCAGCATTTATATCACGCCTATCATCTGGAGTCACGGGCAGCAGACCTGCTGCTCACAAAGTAAAAACCCCCCATGCTTCCACCGCAGCGAAAGGTGAAAGACCTCCTGACTTCAAGGTTGCATAGCTGAAAATTGCTTTTCTGGAATGATAAATGCTTGGGTGCTCGGAGATGGATCGTTTCTTTGGTATGGCTTCCTGAAATCCCCCTTCATCATGTAACGCAGCCACGGTAATGACTCAACAAGGCCTTCAGCTCCGGAAATTAAGGAATCGGGGCTTATTGCATATTAATGGCAACGCTGGGACAGTCAAATAAGACAGTTTGTTATAATACTAATTATAGCAAAGCACTCATGTTGTGGTTTGAATGAGTCAATTATGTGTGTGTTAAAACTATAAATACATCTTCCCCCCAACCTCAGCTGTGTGGTACGTAATTTTTTTTTAATTGCTTGGATACATATTTACCTGAGCATATCCTGGTTTCCCAGGTAAACATGTGTACCAATGCAGAACTCATTATGGTCTGTTTGGATAAATAATCCATATTTTATAACTGTACAGGAAGTAATTATTTTCGTATTTTGCTTTCTTTAAGCCAAAGAAATTAAATACTGTGTGTTCATTCCTTAAAATAAAATAGATGCAAAAGTTGAGGCAATACGAGAATAAAGTTTTCATTGTTTTGGTAGAAACTGAGAATATTATTCCAGATTTTGATCTTGTGTTTAGCCCAGAATAACTCCATTAATGTAAACAGTGTTATTCAGGATTTACTCAGATGCAAATGGGACGTGAATTTGGCCTCCTCTCCTTACTCTTCCTTACTTCATTGGGAGGTTCCTGTAAGCAGCTTGCACACACTCTTTGCTTTAAATGACGTTGTCACGTGTTCATCATTTGGAAAAATAACGTATTTCAGCTACACGCAGAAATTAACATATCTGAATTTTATGGTAGGAAAATTAATGTCTTATAGAATCACAGAATGGTTTGGGTTGGAAGGGACCTTAAAGATTATAGTTACGGTCCTATATGTGTTAGGGAACTAGAGCATACTTTCACGTCGGATATTTCTGCCATTGTTTTATATGATATTTGGAAAACCTGTGTTGTGTTATCACCATGCTAAGGTCAGGTTTTGTAACACTTTTAAGCTTAGTGAGGCCAAAGTCAGCCTTGGCATAAATCCATTAACTGCAATAGTTTTACACCAGAGATGAATATTGGCTCGTTCTTGGTAAATTTATTTTTATCCAGCTCTTTATATTTTATGTTAGAAATATAAGTAGCTTGTGTGCCCTCAAACTAATCAGAATAAGAAACAGTTTTGCTTATGCCAAAAAATAGAACTATCGTTTTTCACATTCTTACATTTTTCAAGTAAGATTATATTACTGTGACTTCTGAATTCCTGAAATCTCTCTGGTCTCTGTGACTGGAAGGGCCAAGAGAGGGTTTCAAGGGGAAAATCTGAAACTCTTCACGCAGTATGTTTTGTGTTGTGCGTACGAGATACAGTTAACGTTTTGTATGCATGTGATTAGTGTGGAAAAAAATTAATGCAGTCCAGTATTATGATTTATGGACTGAATCTTTTGCCCACTGAACACTTGCCAAAATGAAAATCGTTTCCCCCCCCCTCCTCCTATGGATATTAGAAACAGCTACTGTTTTTGTTGATCTTTTTAACTTCTGAATAGGCCTATTTCAAGTCATAGCAGCATGGGAGCTCAGATTAATAATATACTTATTCAGCCAGTGATACTGAGTGAAACCATTGCTAGTGTGAGTATGAAGGATAGGATTTCTTTAAATTATTTTCAGGTGCATTAATGCATTTCTGAAAGAAGAATTTAGAGATATTTGAAAATAAATTAAATTTCTGTTTATCAGTTGTGTTACAGGTGTGTATGAGTTTTAATATCAGGAATTTTTTAAGGTGTCTCTCCTTTTGATAACTTTTGTACTGTGCTCACTGTCAGTCCATCAGATTATTAACGAGGATAAGAGCAAAGAAATCATGATTAAATCTTGCCTTTTGGACAATGTTTTTGAATTTAGAGGATAAGGTATATTCCGTGCTGTGAAGCATCCTTTCTATTCCACCTACTCTACAGCATCATCTTACGCCAGAACCAAAGGCTAGCGAGGTGAACAGAGCAAATCCCATAGACTTCTCTTGTGCATTTGGGTTGGACCTCCTTAGCCCAGTAGTTTGATAAGCATCAGCTTGCGCAAGTTTGGTTTCTAATCTTGTACTGGTTTTGATATGATCTATTTGTGTATAAACTAGCCCAATATTCTGCACCTACTGAAGGTGAATCCAAGGCTGACGTGCTTAGTCCCTTACAAAGAGATTTTTGCTCTTTACAGCACAGTTTGAGGAGTTTGGGGCCTTTAGAGGCACTGTCACGACGGAGGTGAGGACAGTTCTCTGCTTTACACTCCTTTGGCTACCTCTTATCAATTTTTGTGGCATTCATTGCTCAATCCCATCTTTATCTTTTCCATATCTGAATGGCCTGGTCTGCTCAAGAAGGTTTTTCCAATTAATTTATTAATAGAGTTGGTGTTTCCTATCAATTCATTTTCTTTTTCTCAAAGGAAATAAGAGCATGCCTAAAAAAGTCTTCATGTGAGCCTGGTTTGTACTAATGATAAGTCAAGTAGGGGTAGAGTTTCTTTCAAAAAATACTTAGGTAAGCTGTTTAAAATTAATATTTGTTATTCTAAAAAATTTTGAGAGGGATCAGCCACCCTTCCACAGTTGCAGATAAAGTGCTATGGCAAGAATTTGGCAGTTTTACATTGCCTGAGAGAATTATATATTCATTTTCTGGGCTAACGTGGTGCAAGGAAAGAAAAAAAGGGATGTAGCGCTTTTTAAAAGCATTCATTTTAAATATAAACAAAAAAGCTTTTGCTTGAGATTTGTCAAAAGTCTTTCAGTCTTTTTGTAAAATTGTTATTCATTTCTTGGCTAACAAGAGCCTAGTGAGTGACACCTTTGAGAGTTCCAGCTTGTGTTTTAGTGCATAGCTTGTATTTTGCTATGCACTACCATGCAAAATATTATCTGAACTTATTTAAAACAAACCCGAGTGAATAAATTTTTTAACACAGAAACAGCCGTCCTAATTTATTAATTTATTTTAGTTGCAGCAAGCAGCTGAAATTTCTCAGCTGAGAGGAGCTCGAGTCATCTCTGCTGAAGATCTCCTGTTCTTAATGCGCAAAGATAAGGTACAGTAATAAAACAGAATTTTCTTACTTTACATAGTAAGCTGCTTATCGTGTTTTAAAGCTTTGCTTAACCTATGTGAAAGGAGTCCATCATTATGAATAGCTTTATTTAAAAGTATATCTGCTCTGCAATTGCATTGTATTGTGCACAGTACAATAATTGCATAACATTTTAATTAATTCTCATTTTTTCCGGTAACTTCAATTATGAATAGATTTTTTCACTAGCTTTAGGGTGGGTACTGTACCTTAGAGCTCAAAACAATTTCTTAATAAAGGTATAAGTATCGATCCTTATCCTTTATATCCCCTTTATTAAAAATCAATCATTCTAATTTCCTCCTAGTTATGCAGGGTGTAGATGTGACATTTGACAGTGCGACATTACATTTTTGGCATCTAGGCTGTCAGTAAATCCTGTCTTGATGTTTCCTTTGTAATATTTTTCCTGTACTTTATCTCACTAAAATCTCCAAATTTAGGGATGGTCTTGCTTTCTCTGGATAATAAGTAGAGCAGGTCAATAATTAAAAAAACACAATTTTCCATATGAAGATTAGATTCATTTTCTTTCTTCAAATTTCAAAATTATGAAAAAATTATTATCAACTATTTTTATCAACATTATTTCCTGGATCTCTTTTTATTCCTTAGTTTCCCCCCTTTCCCGCCCCCTTTTGTCTCCCCTTTGTTTTTCTTTCCTCATTCGGTACGTGAAACCTAATGACCCAAACCATATCAAAATTAAAAAACACTAAACATGAAAACCAATTGCAGTTTCTTTATCTGATATGATCCATAAGGCCATACTGAAAGCAGTGGTCAATATGGATGTCAAAGTTCAGGAAAATATGCATTTGTAGGTTTGAATTTCCAAACTAAGCAAAGATTTTGGAGTGCCCTAAAGAAGCCTGATTTCTGAATTACTGCTTTCTGAAAGTCAAACCCATTTCTGTCTCACAGTCGGCAAGCAAAGTACCAAGGAGCTCAAATAATATTTATTGTGGAATTGCTACTGACCTTGATGTACTTTCTATGTATGGATTTTCTGCAGAATCAAAAATTATGAACATGAAAAAAATTATATTTGCTGAGTATGTATTACAATGCATTACCCATTTGTTTGTTTGTTTCTTTCAAAGTTAGTCTAAATAAAAAATAACTATATAATAGTAATATAAATGTATTTTTTTGTCTTAGAAGAAGCTTAGAAGGCTACTTAAATACATGTTTTTTCGAGACTACAAATCTAAAATTGTCAAAGGAATAGAAGAAGATGACCTCCTTGAAGGTAGAAAGACTATTACTTAATTTGGGGGAGGCTTGATATTTTATAAAAGTGCTGAACAGCTCAATGCAAAGTATTAATGTCTTGCTTAATAGTTAAAGACAGAAAAATATTGTCTTCGGAGTAATTTGGTTTAAAATCTCTGCTTTTCCATTTGAAATACTTCAAAAGTAAGTATTTGCATCTACCATCCAAATGATGACTGAGACTGCTTAATGTCAGGACTCTGTCGAAGTAAGAAACTGGTGCTGATTAAAGGGCTAATTGATTTCAGCATGTGTAATTTAAATGCGGCAGCTACCGCGTGCAATTGAATGGACATTTGTTAAATTATTATCAAAGGGTTTTGACATGTTTTACAAAAAAAACCCCATAATCTGAAGTCATTGTATACTAATATATGACCTGGGCTTGTTTTCAGTGTGGTTTAACATTTTAAACTTTGAATCTGTAATTTAAAAAATGAGAAACACTTTTGTTTCCCCATTCAATGAGCAAGTCACAGATTTTATAAGCAATGCATTTAAAGGAAAAGCTCTGTGATTTAAAAATACATTAATTTATGCCATATAATTTTCTGGTATAAAGTTTTGTTGATTTATATTAATAGAAGAATTAGCATTTCCTTTGTAAAAAGTTAAAGCTTATCATAGCAAATCTAAAGCTTGCCATACTTTTATAACATCTAGCAATGTCCATACACAACTTTCTGCATTTAACTTATTTCCTTTCTCAGAGCCTTTTATTTTTATTTTTTTCCCTTACAATGAATTCCTTGTGTTTGGTTCCTCTGAGCATCCACGTTGATATTAGGTAAACATTGTACTCCTTGCTTTGACTTCGTCAATCTGTGGATGAGTTTTTGTCAACTCATTTGAGATTTAATTTGCCCGTGGCATTTTATTTTCACCACACATGAAAGTATATTGTTTTGTGCAAACAATCTGGCAGTATAGCTTCCTACCTGACAGCTTTGGTTTTTTCATACTTAAGTCTGTGTCATTATTTAAAACAAATAAACAATTTTTGTAAGCCATTTAGATGCTCATGAAATGCTTCCTAAACACGGTTCATCTGGGAATTAAAGATTGCATTTTCTGGCAGGCTTTGGTAATTGAAGCCATTAAGTTTGTTTTGTGAAGCTAATGTCTTTATAGCTGCTATTCTGTTTAGAACAACAGAGATCACCTTGCCAGGGTTCTCTAGGTTTTACTGTAGAGCAATGGTTCGTCACCTGTGGAGCTGCATCTTAGTGTTTGTGCTATGGTTTGCTTTAGGCTGTAGGTAATAAGGATGTTCTGCGTGCTTTCAGGAAAGAGCATTTCCTCTATATATTCTGTTGTACAAGTGAGGTTTTTGTACAACCAAAGAAGGGTGGTTTCTTCTACAGCTCTGTCCGCTGTGGATCCTTCAGTGAGAAATAATGATATATGAGCAGTAGACTAGGTTTCTCTAGATTACGAAAAAACATGAGGTTATACTAGAAAACACTAAAGTTGATTTTTTACTGCAGTGCTACTGCAGCACAGCAGTGACATCACTTTGGTCAGGTAGCACAACTTGTATGAGGAGGACAGCAAGAACAGGCCTTTTCTGCACAGTGCATCTGATTCTAAAACATGTCCCTCCTAGGGACATCAGTTGATGTTTGGAGAAGCCAAATAACTTGTTTGTTGTTCTTTGCTTACCTTTGTGAAGACAAATTCAACAGTAATAACACCAACAAACGGCAGAAGCTTGCTCAAGACTTTCTCAACTCCATTGACCAGACTGGAGAGCTCTTAGCCATGTTTGAAGATGATGAGATTGATGACGTCAAGCAAGAGCGAATGGAGGTAATTCTTTTCTTTTACTGATACCCGGCTCCAGCAGAGAAAACTGTGAAATATTTCATACATCATGCTGGTCTGATGCCTTTTTCATGCTGCATATTATATCATTGTTACATGTTTTTTCCTATTGTCCAGATGGTCTGAAGAATCCTATTTCCATATTTTTCTTATTCCCTCAAATGTTTCCTGATATCTAAGCAAGCATGCTGAGAAGGAAGATTATGAAAGGGTAGTTATGGATCTTTCTGTCTGCCATGTATTTGTATTTCCTTCCTTTAGGAAGCAGATTCTATTTATAAACATTTCACATGCATTTTTCACAACAATTTTTTTCTTTTTCATTATTCCTCTCATTAGAAAATTGTTTCAATAGCATTTGAGGACTCTTTTCATATAACGCAGCTTACAAATAAAATTAAAATATTCTGTGCAAATGTGCTTCAGTATATGCTCTTCTCTCCATCCTGCTTTCAAGTCCTATTTTCTGATCTATGTACTTACGAAAAATTATGTCTACATTACAGAATGCAGTACCATATCACTGTCAAAAAGCTAGGTGGGATCAAGAAGCGGTATAGCTGTGTTAGCATGGAAGTCTGCGGAACGATGGTTTTGATACCAGTTGGTTTTGATACCAGTTTTACTCGGTTTCACTGAGGTTTAGCAATACTGGCACAAGATACTACATCATAGCAAGTACATCTTATAGATCTTATCAACTCCATGTCCTCTCTATCAGCAGAGCATCTTCTTGAATGTCATTTACTCTTAATTTTTTATAAGATCCAAAGGCTGTATCTGTATTAATTAATAAACTAGGCCAGGGCCAGTTCTCTGGCCCTGAAGGCAGGTGACATAGAATCATAGAACCATTAAGGTTGGAAAAGACCTCTAAGATCATCGAGTCCAACCGTCAACCCAACACCACCATGCCCACTAAACCATGTCCCTAAGCGAACATGGCTCGGCTTCGGTCCCTGTGGCTAAATTTTCTGTAGGTGGACAGGGTTACCCTGTCTTTTTGGTAGCCCTGTCCGTAGCGAATATGGAGAACAGCCCATGGCCCCTCTTTGTGCCCAATTCCTCCTCATGTCTTGTGTGGGCAACTGAATGTCAAGGGCAAAACTGTGCCAGGAGCATGCTGACAATCCCACACTAGTGTTTGGGCCAATTTCCATCCTTTTTAGTCAGTAATATAGTGTATGTGGCTTTTGGAAACTTGCTGGTTTTAGAGTGCTTTTTATACCCTTTCAGTGGTAGAAGCTGGTTACTTTTGGTTTGATTTTCTTTTCCATGCTGAGGTGGCTGATGCATTCAGTAATTTTTTTGTATTTAATATTTGACTATTAGGGCCTCATTTCAGCTTCAGGATTTCATGGAAAATTCTAAGAAATAACCCGATTTTTATCCTGCCTAGTTGTAAGTCTCATTTTTTCTTCTTAGCGGAGCCCCTTTTCAGAACTGGGAGTTTCCCAGTCCTCTTAACCCTTATTCTCCCCATTACAGTTACTCAAAATCTAATCAAGAATCCCTTCTCTCTAAGAATTTGGCTAGTAACAGGTCCCATTTCTCCCCAGCCGAGAATCAGTGTCACAGAACAGTTGTTCCCAAACACTGTTTGTGTTTTGGAAACTGATGGTTTCTTTTCTTTGCTTTGCTTTCTTACTTATTTATTTATGCAAAATGTTATATTTTGCATAAAGGCAGGCAAATCCTTTGAGCTTGTACGCACAAAAACACATAACAGCACTGTTCTGAATGAATGGGTTGTGTGCTTGACTTCACATTCTCTTCTGTCATTCCAGTATAATATTTTTTTGGTGTAAAAAACTACACAAGTTGCTAGGAGTATGAAGTTCCCTGCCCTAGACAAGGACAAATCTGACTCTGTGTTTGTCTGTCAAGGAATGTGTTCCTGTAATCAAATATTTATCTTTCATCTGACTACATGTTTTGTTTTTTTCTCACTAGAGTATAATTCATGACCTGTAGTGTGTGTGTGTGTATATATATATAAAAAGTAATTCTTCTCTCAATTGCTTTACTTTATTACATTTTGTGAACTCTTGATCTGTTTCCATGTTAAAAAAAAAAAGAAAAATCAAGATCTACTTATTTTAGAATGAATTATATACAGGTATGAAGTCAGTACTATATATTTTCTTTCTTATTAGTTTTCAAAACTAATGATAAAACATGAAAGATTGGTTGAGTCATGCTATTCAAAATGTTTAACATATTTTTGGCTTTGTTTTGTTTGGGATTTTGTTGTCACTTTGAGGTGGGTGGAAAGGAATCAAAGATAGTAGGAAATGCGATCCATTCCTAAAGGAAGAGTTGTTAGTGGATGGACTAATCTCGTGTATCACATTTTCTTTGTGCAGTAGATTGTTTAACCCATGCTAAGTTTTGGAGGAAATCTAATAGACACTTTAAAAATTCTAACAGCGTTCTTTAAGGAATTAGTATACTTAAATCATGAACTGTGATCTAAAGGCAGTGTTCCTTTTAGGTATCAATTACCTCAGAAATGTGTGGTTGTCTTGGTTTGGACAACTGTAAATAATTTCAGTTCCACTTTGCCTTGGGCCAAAATCATGCTAAGTTGTCCGGAGCAGATGATATACATATATTTCTGATGTCATTATGGGCTAAACAGGATATGATTGTTTAGCAGTATGGTTTCAGTTATGTTAAAAAAAGCAAATATTGTTTGTATTCATTTCTTTTAAAACATTTTATAAAATTAGAGCTAAGACTTCATGAGATCACTTGCTGTTCTGTGAGGTCGACTCTGTATTTGTACCACGGAGGAGTAAGCAAAGCTCCAAGCCACTTTCAAACATTACTAAAGGAGAACAAACAACTCTACACTTTTGACTAAAAAACACCCACTAACGCTGTCATATTAAAAAGAAAGGACATTCTTCTAGGATTGTATATAGACTTATTGATGTATCCTGTGGTTTTAATTTGAAGCAAATATATCTAAAAAACAGTAATAGTAGCAATGTGGAAAGGAAAGTGGAATACTCTTAAAATACAGGGCAGAAATTAAGAACAAAATTCACATTACTTTGTCATAATACGAGATTATGTTATTGATACATTGTGATTAGATGACTTACTATAAAAACTTCAATAATAGCAATAAATAGTAGCAAACCAGCCAACTGTATTGGCAAAATCAAAACAAAATAAAAACTGGAATAGCACCTCTGTCTCATTTCATAACAGTGAGTATTTTGCCCTCCTAAGATAGCACTAAACCACCAGTGAAACGCTGCTCCTCAGCGTAAGAACAGAACAGTTATAGATGGAATAAACTATTCTCGTTCATAGATGTAATTGAACTGTGCACGTGAAGGAGAGCTATTCGGATCATAGACGTTGTCTTCATAACAGATGACAGTCTCTCGAGAATAACACATGTAACGGCGATCTACCTAACACCCCTTTGTTATTGTCCAGGTTAGGCTCTGGAATAACCAGAGCTGGTGGTGCTCGGGAATTCAATTTCCCTTCTATTGCCTGTTGCATGACAGAATTCACGATAAGTAAAACCTTGCAAGTGGATTGCAGTTTTGCTTTCCTCTGTCTCTTAAAAATAATTTAGAGGGGAGAGTTAGGATTCCTGTGGGATATGGCTGAATTGGTGTGGGAAGGAGGTGCATGCTCATTTAAAATCTTTGCATTTTTCCTTATTTTGCGGTTTGGGTAGAGATGCAGTTTTGGGTGTTTGTGTCCTTATGTTGCTACTCTGAACCTCTCAGGTGACCTGTCCGTAGTAAAACTAGCTGCAGGTTTGGCTGTGATTCTGTGAATGGTAACTCCAGTTCTGCTAAATTTTTGTATGTGAACCCCTATCAAATTCTCCATGTCTTGTTATCAAAATCAAGTATAGCGATTTTAAAACTTCAGTCAACATCATTGCAAAGCTGACTTCTCTCTCATTCTGTAAATAGCCATTTTTTATCATTTGTTTTATAGTTCCAATACCTCCCCCACCAGGAAGAAGTCTTCCCATCAGAAATCTCAACTGACATACAAAGGAATGCATAGAGCATCACGCTGTGAATGCTCTGTTTCACTTTTGTTCCCCTAGGATTAAGAGAAACACCATTCATCTGTCACTCTGACTGCTAGTTTAGGGATATATTTCCAACACTCAGATGTTATATGGCAATAATTCAGTTGCAGTAGCTACCATAATGCTTTCATAGTACATTGCAAGTTTGAATAAACAGTGGAGGGAAAATAACTTCCCTAGAAGGATACAGTACCTTGAAAACAGGCTAGATGCCAGCAAAATGTTAAAACTAAGTTACATCCCTACAGAAGGGGATTGGCAGAAGCTTGTGGTTCTTTAAGGTGTGTTGTCCTATCAATTATGTTAGGTATTTAAAAACTACAGATACATATTATTGTTCTAGGAAGTTCATTGTGGATGTGATTTTTCCTGTACTGCTCATTAGTACGCTTCTGTTAGTGGGAAATCTGTACAAAGCTCACAGAAATGCAGTGAGCCCTGTGCAAAATACAGTAGATTGCAATAAAGTGTAGATGTGTTTGGAATATATCCTTTGTTCACATAAGGTTAGATTGCTCCCATTTAATTTTGTCTGCGTTCAGATACAATTAATTTGTGTCTGGACAAGACACCGAAACACAGGTAAATGCACCTTGGGGTACAAGAAATCATGCTCTGGAAGTCCCTCTGTTTCAATCACAGAAATAAGGTAGACTCGGCATTTAGTTGTGTCTATAGTAGTAAATTAGACAGTGACCAAGAAGATTCCTTCCTACTGGAATATGATCACCTATATTAAAACTTTTGTGTGGTCACGCTTTGACCTGAGCCAAGTAGCATTGACCCAAACAATTCCTGGGCACAGTCTGGGAGGCAGCCTGGGCCAGGAGCTCTCTCCATGGCATGGTTTGGTTGTGGCCACTCTCTTTGGGAGGCTTGGAGAGCAGGAACACGGACACAGGTTGCTCCATTC